CCAGGAATGCCCTCATACCTAACATTTCCTCTCCAGCCATCCATTTCCTATTGAAATATCTCCAATGCACATCAAGTTTTATTTTCCTCTGAATTCTTCCCTGGACATAGTTCAATGCAACCCTTTCTCTTTCTAACCCCAAACACTATCTCTTGGCCACACATACATGCCCCTGGCTGAGGCTATATATGGTTAAAATGCTGTTTATATCATTTTGTTTGTATTATTTCTTTCCTGTTTCTCGAGGTCTGTTCTGAATGTGGCCTGTCTCGGGCCCATTTTTACAATAAAAAATGAGACACAAAAGGATGGTCCAGAAAAGGTTGTCTAACTCAGAATTCCTTCCACAGTCTCACTGAGTGGGGTATGAGATCATGGAACCTCAAATGGTTGTAGGGTTTGGTTACATAGTCTCCTTTCTCTTTGTATGTTTTGAGCAATCTTACCATAGAAATAGCAACTTGGGCTCTACAGTTTCTTGGGAAATGAAAGGAAAGATTAAGATATTATCTGTATTCTCTTATTTTTATGGAAATATTAAAATATCCACAACTAAAATTTTATGAGCAACAACCAGTGGGAACAGATTCCAAACACAACCAATAGAGTCACACTGGTACAAGCTGGCTGGAAAGCATTACTATTTACTACTCTCTCTGCAAATAAATACAAAGGATCTCATTTCCTCTTTAAATGACCATGAGATTTACAAAAATGCCCTTTACATGTATGAGATTAGAAGGAAGGGGCAGAAAGGTAATTTACCAGGTAGAGTGTAAGTGAATTCTCAGTCCCTTTTGCTTCTTAAGAGGGTAAGTCAAGCCATAATTAGTGAAGTCACAGTGATTAGTGATATTACCAGCATTCCAAAAGCAGCTAAATAGGAAGAGTATAGAAAATGGACTGTTTCTGCAGTGTAACTCAATATTCAAATTGAATGAATTTGTTTAGTCTCCTAGGAGTCAAGGTGGCTCACATCCCACTCCATTGGGTGATTGATACTCCTTTTCTCCTTGTGACCTTTCTCCCTCTCTGTCTCCCCTTTTCTCCTTCCTTAACTGAAATTCTTTTTTGACCAACAAGAACAGTAAATGAAAAGTAGATTTATGAATTAAAGGAGCAAACAGAGTGATAATGACAGAACTAAAATCAAATTGAGCACAGGAAATGAGGCGAGAAGTAAGACTGCTTACTTTCTGAAGCCCTGATCCATGTGGGGAAATACAGATAAGTGAGGAAAACTATAGGAGTTGAGGAGTTGTAAATAGCCTCTATTTTGGTAAATAGCCTCTGACTACATACTGGCAATTGGACTTGTAGTTTAGAGATAACAGGATTAACTAAAGCTAGCCCTTGTACCCAGAAGAAGGCCAACCAGAGATGCGACTGAGAAGAAAAATCTAAGAACACACAGACAAATGAACCTAAGGAGACTACCCAGTGAAAAAGGAGAGGAAATAACCTAACTACTATATGTCGGGAGCATGTGCATTACCTTACGGCCATGGATATTGCTTGAGTGATGCAGCAAGAAGAACCATTATTCCAACAGAGGGTACGATTGTCTCCAAGGACTTGGCCATGGAGAGACAGCTGTTCCTATGCTCCCTGTCTCAATTTAGATCTCTTGGACTCTGAGATCTGAAAGGGATCTTAGAGTTATCAAAATGAATTAAATCATTTATAAATGAGGTCATTGAGACTCAAAGACTTTAAAAAAATTCATAGTTCATAGCTAGTTATTTGCAGATGTGGCTCGTGAACCTTCCTATTAAACCATAAGTAGGAAACCTGGGCTTTTGCTCTTTTAGCATGAGACTATCCCACCTTTCTTATGCTTTCTAACTTTGTTCCTTTCGAACTCTAAGCAAAGGCTCAACTTCCCTGTGAAGTTTTCTACAAAGTATATCAGTAGGTGCCTCAAGCTTTGGAAAGAATGAGCTCCTCAGTGTTCCCCGACATGAATTAGTCACATTCACATTTATTTAAGGTATTTTATATTAGTTCTAGATTCTATTTTAAAAACATACAACTGCTTAGATAAAAATAAAAGCTTTCTTAATGAGAAAGGTGATGATGGTGAAACTTTGATAAGCAGGCGTTTTCTTTTTGGTAAATAGCCTGTTGGTGTGTCTTTGATTCTCAAAGCACCCTAGAGTTTTAGTTTGGAAAGTGGCTTTTCTGGAGCCCTAATGCTGGATAGGAGATCTGGGCCTCATCACATGGACTGTACCGAAGGAGATCATCATTCATCTATGCTGGATTTAGGTAGAAAAATGGGTCTGTGGGAGAGGGCATGGGATAAGTAGTCTCCCGAGGCCAGAGAGCTTCACAAATAGAAATGAATCAGGAAACTCAAGCATTCTCTTGAGCCCTTCAGTGGTATTACAAATCTTGTTTGTTTCTATTTCATTTTCAACTTCCTAGGTACAAGTGTTTGTCATAGGGGCCACTAACCAATCATTTTGTGAACATCCTTTAAAAAGAAAACAAAACAAAAAAACCTGATTTTATTTTCAGAACAGTTCATTGTTACAAAGGTAGAACAACCTGACTTTACTACTCCACCTTAAAAGAAAATAAATGGATTGCTATAAATTGGGATTTTTTTGGGGGAGGGGTTTTATAAACCAAGGAGCCCTTGGTGATTGCAAACCATATTAGCCATTATGATAAAGGGGCTAGGGGAAAGGTATAGATTCAAAGCTCTAGCCATAAATGGACTTGAGTTGGGGATGGAGTTTATACTTCTACTTCCAAACTGCTTTGGTGTGAACAGACAGAGGGATGACAGGGGCAGTGGGCATGTGGCATTGGGCTCTGCTTTCCATGAATGGCAGATCATTTTATGTGAGCACCATTGCCTGCTGGAGGAAACCAAATAGATGGGACAGATTCAGAGATGGTTTTCAAGAACAAAGTGAAGAGGAACCCACCATAGTTCATGAAGGAAAGAAGAGCGTGGACTTACATGGATGTTAAGGTAATTCCAATGCAAAATCATTATGGAAAAGAAGGTCTAGCTTTCAGGAAAATTGTAAAAATCTTAGCAAGGATTCACCCCACAAACCCATTTTGCTTCTGTTGGAAACCAAGAAATGTTAATAAGCCTGAATATAAACTGTTGATGTCATTTTAGTCTGTTGAGTAGCCTAGTGATTATAAGTAGTTTTCAACAATCCAATCGGACACACATCATATTCACAATACTTTTATAAAACTAATTCTACACAATGTGACGACAAAGTAACCACAGTCCGACAAATCACTGCAGGACAATGCTTACAGGGTGGAAGCACATCTACTTTGGCTCTGCAGGGAGTGGACAGAGGTGGAAGCTCACTTTGCGTACGTTGGTAATTGAAGTACATAGTGGACATGTTTTTTCATTGCTTTGTGCTGATCAGTTTCACAAATATGACTAGGTACCACAGGGCCATGACCTAAAGAATTAATGGAACAGATATCATGGGACTTTGGGGGGGGGGGCGGATACTTTAGTTTGTTGGGTTTCTCCAAGTGTCCATGGTATACATTTTTAAGAAAATAAAAATCACTATCACATCCATGCATCTCCAGAAATCCAGAGCCCCTGATGATTGTATCGAAGATTGATAATTTTGAAGTTGAGAGACTTGCTCAATCATTTGGAACAAAACAGTTGCTTGGGTGGCTTTACTCTGAGCATGCAAGCAACAGCAGAGCTCTGAGACATCATAATTGCCTCTGATGGCTACAAAAATCATTGGACCACAGTTTGAAGTGGCTGATTGCATTGCTGGCGATTTTCAAAGGCCTTTTCTAACAGTCTATATTAAATGCATTTGTTGCTTTCTTTTCATTGTTATTATTATTTTTAAACTGTTCTAGCAAGGTTCTGTGTGTTTTCCCAGCAACTAAAGGAAAGCTTGCAAATTAAAATCTGGGCAAAAGTTGTCTTCTTGATTTTCTGGCTCTTAAACAAAAACTCAGTTATAAGGATGAGTAATTTATTAAGCCTATTAAGTAAAACTATTTGTTGGTGTTTACAAACTTCCAGGCTAAAAGCTGAGAAATTTGAGGAGCAGGGAGTAAGCCCACCAGATTCTTCTGAAGTTGAAATTACTTGCTCGAGTGGTTTGGAAATATGAAATGAGCAGAAAAAGCAGCATGTAGGAGCCCCTGCCATTAGAACAACAAGAAGAGAAATCTCTTGGGTGCGTCTTGTCCTCAACCTCCACTTCCCAGGCATGTTTACAACCCTCCTAGTGTAGTTAGTTGGCCTAGTAATCCTGACCTGGTCATTGGAAAAACCTGCAAGAAGGTCTTCCTTTTAAACATATGAGCAAAGGATGAGAAGTACAGAATGAAAAATGAAACAACAAAAATATGACTTTCAACTGTGAAAATAATTAAGTTTCCATTTATTAAGAGCTGGTGTCAATGAAGATCAAAATACATACCTGTCCAGGGCAGGAGCAGGTACTCACCTGCCCCCTCCCTTTATCTTCTCTTTTGGATTTACTAAAATACATGTATACATTGTTGGACCATTTAAAAATGTTTTTAATAATCCATTTCCCTTAATTACAATTAACTGTGGTGGTGACCATCATTCTCCTCAAAGAAAGAGAGAGAAAGAAGAGAAATGAATACATATGAAGGAGTCTGGCCACTTACTCATTTTGATTTTGCATTGTTTGGATATAGTGAAGATATTTGACAATGAAAAAAAAAAGAAAAATATATTTTCTTTCTAATAAATAAAAATAATTTAAAATGCTAGAGGCTATACATGACTATTTTAGTATGTTCATTTATAAATGAAATCATTTCCTTTTCCAAAATACATGGAAGCAATATTCAAGGCAGACAAAGAGAAAGATCTGTCTACTTTTTCTCACAATTCTTGCTCATCCTAACGTTGCCACCAGTGATTCAGCATGTAAGAGGAAAAAAAGTCACATCACCATTTATGAAGTTTGTCAGGCTTTAAAAAAATAGTTCTGGTCTCCTGGGAGTCAACATTCATCTTCAACTTCTCTGATTGGTGGAATCAGGCTGCTTGTGGATTTATATTGGTTGATCTGGTTAGCCATGTGGGTACTCATGGGCTTGATTTGAATGTTTCTGGGATAGGCATTATCCGATTCATCTGTAAACCATTTCTTTTCTGCTAAAGGGCAAAACGGATAGAGAACAGGAAGGAAAATGAGAAGCTTAATTAGTCCTAGGGTAAAGCCGTTGGGAAGTTCATTGAAAAAATGCAAAAAGGTATTTGATAGAAGCTGACAGTGAGTAATTGCTGAGAAACAATGTAGGGAGAACCCAGACCTTTAAGCATACTTCTATGCTGCCTCTAACAAGTTATAAACCAAGTGTGCCATTGGACTTTGGAGGCTCTATGGATGGTCCACAGAGAATAAGGTAGGGCTGGAAGATGAACTCTGGCAGTGTTCACTGGAGTCAGATTAGTGGCCTGAAAAGCTTAGGTGGGGAGAAGATGCTGCATATATCAAATATTGAGTGTGGACATCATGCCAGAGGACAAACTCATACACTCATTGATTTGAGTGGAACGTGCAAGGACAACATCTCAGCTGCAGAGCAAGATCTAGAATGTCTTACAGAATCACCTCCTTCCAGCCTTGATTGGGCTATGCTTGTCACAAGCATACTTCAAGGTTTATCTCAACTATATTACTATTACGTTTCTTTTGCATACAGTTTTGTGGTCTTAAAGTAAGCACACAGAAGTTATTGGCTAATGAGAGTGAAAACCAGAATAGTGACCACTGTTTTAAGAGAATTTTGAGATGGCTTTCATTTCAAGAAAGAAAACTCTGTGTTGTTGGAAAGTTTTGAAAAGGATCCTAGTGGCAGTGTCTTAACTGAGTATAATAACCCAATTTGTCAACAAGGGAGCTCAATAAAGTCTTTGCATTTCATTTCCATCCCTAAATATAGAAATGGCTTGAAGGGATTGCTGAGTCAGGGCATTTAGGGGCTGAGGAGAGAATGAAAACCATCTAGCATCCTCTTAGCAGTGTAGTGCTATTTGATAGGACTCAGCTCTCATCCCCGCCTCTTCCTAAGATGGGCATTTTCTGGGACATTGGTTTTTGTGTAGATATGGAGGGACTAGGTAAGTCAGACATTCTAAGTTAGAATCTTATGCCTCATTTTAGTGGCTGAGAAAAAGCAAAGAGAAAAAAGCAAAAAGCTAGTTTCTTCTGCTCTCAAACACACCCACTGCTATAGAGATAATGACCTCTCCAGAGACCTTTTCTGCCAATCAGAACAATTCTTAACTGTCTTGCCAATGGTCCTGGCCTGATTTGTTAATAAAAGCTCTCACCTGGCTTGTGTGTGTGTGTGTGTGTGTGTGTCTGTCTGTCTGTCCTTTTGGTTAATTCTAAATTAAATATTCATGCTCAACTCATCACTCCTGTGCTTGTTCCTCCTCAGCCCATCCTTGTTCTTGCTACTTCAAGTGCCCTGAGCCCTCTCCATGAACATGCTGTCTCTGGAACTGGGTTGTGCCTGGGAGAAAGCCTTGCTCCCCTTTGTTCGGCAGCTCAGTTTACCTCTCAGTAAACTTGCTGCCTCTTGGCTCTTCCTCTGCCTCCTCCCCTTCTTCTCTCCTGCTCTGGCTCTCTCACCTATTATAATTAAGTTCACTTTGATTTGAACAGATTGGACGATAGGAATTCATAATGCTATATCCTCACAGTGAAGCTAACTGATTAAGTGCTTTAAATTATTCCCCCTGACAGAATGATAAAGTTACAATCTGTTCTGAGATGATCTACAGCTTGCCAGACTCCTACAGCTTCTTTCTACATTCATTTATCTTTTTGTCAAGCAGAGTTTTTTTTTTTTTTTTTTTTTTTTTCCCTTCCTCCTAAGCTTCAATTCCATAGATCTTTTAAAGTCATCAGCACATCTGAATTATTAATGAGGCTTTAGAGGCAAGGCTCCTGATGGGCTGGTTAAGAAAGGTTGTATAGAAATCTGGGACTGTGTACACATCAAAATAATTTCAGCTCCATTTAAAAAACCATTTAGTTCAAGTGTGACATAGATGAACCATTATGCATTTGTGGAAACCAATTTTTTTGTGATCTACGATTAAACTAACCTTTCAGAGAGAGTAAAGTGTGATGGTTATCATGTTTTAAAAGCATTGCCAGACCGCTGAAACAATTTCAAAGTATGACTTTTTCAAATGGTAAATGTGTAAAGATGATTTTCAGGGAAGTGGAGCCTGGAGTCTGTGCTCTGTTTGCCTGAGCCACCCTTGGCTTTGGCCATGCCATAACGCAGACTGATTGTGCAAAGGGATTTAGTGCTAGGTTGGACATGCCAGGTTGGAAGGGAGAGTGAACTGTGCTGATGGAAACGACTAGGTCTTTTGGGTGAAAGACCCAAGGCAGCTGTAATTTGCTGAAATTTTTACAACTGTTGCAGAGAATAATTGTTCAGAATTTAGTCTGTACAGTTCAATTCAGAGTTGGCATTTTGACCTTTCACGGCAAAGAGAGTATCAATTTCCTTCTGCTGTCTGCAAGAAAGAGAATATTATTTCCCCATTTAAGCGTTTCTCTTTCCTTTTAAATTTTTTGCAGTAAAGAAACCTAAGCATAGTAGCCTCTGTTTTGGCCATGCAGCTTCAACTCAGGGAAGAGCTGGGTTAAGGCAGATCTTAATGAGAAGGTGGGGTTTTATCATGCCTGAGAAATAGCTGTTTAATTCTGATGCCTTGTAAGATAGAAATGCATGTGTTGTTGAAGCCTTGGTTACTAGGATGTGGGGGAAATGGAAATGTGTTAGTGCTCTGAGCATTTTACAGAAGTGCCTGGTGGCAAAGGTATTCTCCCAAACAGCTCCACAGGAGCACACACTTTAATGACAGTCATTTTGCTACCATGGAAGTGCTCCAAAGATGGGACTGACAACTTTGTTTATTCAATCTCACCTTCCGAAGAAGAAACTAAGACAATGGGTGGCTACAAAATTGGCCACAAAGAAGAGGACTCAGAGAAGGAATTCAAATGAAGTTGTCAATGATAAATCCAAATGCCACAATGATTTCCAGGAGCTTTATTTTTATCCCTGACATTAGAAGAAGGAGCTCTGGTGGTGAAGTAGTTAAAACATTTGGCTGCTAACCAAAGGGTCAGCAGTTGGAACCCACCAATGGCTCCAAGGGAGAAAGATGAGGCAATCTTCTTCTGTAAAGATTTACACCCTTGGAAACCCTCTGGGGGCAGTTCTACTCAGTCCTAAAGGGTGGCTATGACTTGACAGCAGTGGACTTTTTTTTTTTTTTTAAACATTAGAAGAGCAATTGATATGGCTGTGAGTGCATCCTCACTCCCAGAGAAAAATAGTTCACTTGTTAATAAGCTTCTAGAAGGTAGGATGCATGATGTCATCACAGGGGCTACTACAATGCTACTACAATGACAGGCTGGAAGTTACTGTCACATGGCAGTTAGTGGTGTTTGGGAAGGAGTGGCATTTCACAATCTGTGGCAAGTGAGCTAGTACTGCAAGACGAACTATGGAAAAGAGATCTTGGTAGAAGAATGTCACTGCCATGGGGAGGTGTCATCTACCAGCCATGCCATGAGCTATCCCCAGTGAGCAAGCAATGAGGTGTAGGCCAAGGGAATGGCCTGGGATAGTAGTTTAAAGTTAAGCTGACCTAGTTTGCTCCTATCCTAGTTGCATGGCTCTTACTTAATTTATCTTAGCTTCAGTTTCTGCTCTGAAAAGGGGGGCTAATTGATAGGACCTTCCTTAGTATTGTTGCATGGAAAAAGGAAGCGAGTGCACATGAGCACTTACCACAGATCCAGATGCATGGTAAGTCAGTATGAGCTGTTAAGGTCATTAGTACTATTAGTAATAATAGCAGGCATTGTATCACAGTGGCTAAGGTCATAGACTTTAGTCTAAATCCCATCTGATCACTTACTGGCCGCATGCCTTTGAATAAATCTTTATGTTAGATTCCTCATCTTTTAAAGGGGGATATAATAGCATCCACCTCTGGTCTTCATGAGGATTAAATGAGTTACCATATGTAAAGTGCATAGAAGAGTGGCCCATTGTAGGTGCTAAAATGTTAACTTTCGGTATTGTTATTCTTAGTCACTACCGGGTGGGTCCCCAATTCATGGTGACCCCATGCACAATGAAATGATCAATTGGGTTTTCACTGGCTGATTGTCAGAAATAGATCACCAGACTTCCTATTCCATTATAAGCTTTCAGTACAGGTTGTCATTAATGTGACCACTATTGGCACTAAAAGACTCAAACAAGGATAGGTGGTGTTTTTCCAGGTATGATTGCAAGTGATGCCCTTCAACAGAAGATCTAGGGGTGGGAAAATAGAGTGTATTAATTGGAGTATTGCCTGAAGAATGTGGGTCATGACAGTAGAGATGAGAGAGGAGGATTTAGTTGGGTAGTCTTCATTGAGGGGGGGGGGCAGGTAAAGGAGAGGAAGGGGTGACCTGATGTTTGGTCTAGAGAGTTCAGGGCTGCCACCCACCTATAGCCCCTCTGTGTCTCTGAAATACTGTCTGTTCATGTGATAGGCACCCTTGCCCTACCTGAAAGGCCTTGGCAGCTTCCATTGCTAGCCTCATTGCTGAGGTTGTGGGGCTCAGTACAAGTGGTAGGACTTCCTCCAGCCAATGGCTGTGGGTCTGCAGGGATCCTGGGGGGTGGAATATAGTGGTGAAGGGCCAAACCTCTGTGTGGGCTACCTGAGCTGTCTGGAGCCCCCAGAAGCAGAGGGAGAAGCGGGCTGTGCTGTGTAAACTGAGCTGCTTTGCTGACTCCGGATTGCCAGTGCTGCAGAATTTAGCCTTTTCACATTACTACTCCCCAGAGATGAGTGCAGAAAAAGGGTGCAAAGGCATTTGGAACAATTGGTCCTCTTCTTGCTGGACTGCAAGACAAGGTTTGAAAAAGAAAGATTCCGGTTGGATAGAGAGGTAGAATTTGAGAACACTAAGGGTGAAGGAGGGAGCTCTGGTAGCATAGTGGCTAAAGCACTTGACTGCTAACCAGAAGGCTGGCGGTTCAAACCCACCAGCCCCTCCTCGGAAGGAAGGTTGGGCAATCCTACTTCCGTAGTGATACTGCCTCGGAAACCCAAGGAGGGGTCGCTATGAGTCGGGGCCGACTTGACGGCACATAACAACAACAACAACAACAAGGGTGAAGGAGGAGTTAAGGAGTAAGAGCAAAGGGTAAGGCTGCAAGGTTTCCCACTTCACATTTCTGTTTCTGGTGGTTGGTCTCGTGCTCTTCCTGCGCCTGCCAAAGCACAGTGCCCCACACCCAACTCCACTCATGCACAGGTGAAGCATGGCTGCTTCATAGAGATGAAAATAATTTGTGCCCAAGCTAGGGCACTTTTTATGAAAATTGTCTCACTCACTTGCAATTTTCCACCATGACTCCATCTGTCCCTTTCCACTCAAAGTCTAATCCTTCAATTTGCTGGGCAGGGCACATTGTCCTCAGTCCAACCAGGCAACAGCCAGAGGGCAGCCTCTTCACTCTTCCCTTCTGGGTACCTCGCTATCCAACTGGAATCTTTCTTTTTCAAACCTTGTCTCACTAAACCTCAGCTTGCGGTACAGCAAGAAGAGGATAAGCAACCTGTGAAAGTGTAACCTCTGCTTGGGAGACAAAGTGAACCAGTTCACTGACAGGTGCCCACAGCTGCTGCTCCATCATGTTATGACAAAGCAGGGAGGGGCTGTAAGAAACTGACTGAGACGTGGATTTGTACCCTGTTTTGACTTCCAGAGGCTCTGAAATTTTTGTATTCTCCTATATCTCCTTCAAGGGAACTTGGCAGGTTGATTTAATTGTCTCTTTAGGGATACAGGCACCTTTAGGCTTTTTCCATGGCGAGGAAGAGCCAGTGAAAAGGTTGTTCTGGTCATCTGGGATCGTGACAACCTGACAAGAGGCACAATCAGTCTTCTGCTTAGTGAACTCACTTGGCTGTTCCTCTTTGTCAGAGGCTGCATGCCCAGTTCAGCAACGTGCCAACAGCATGGCAGCACTGTGAAGCAACTAGAGGCGGTTATTGTATATTTTTGTTTTTAAAGATAAGGGGGCAAGAGTGATTTATAAAGTGATTATGTAAGACCTAGAAATGCTCAGGGTAAGTTTATTTTAAATATTTATTGAGCATCTATTATAGTGCCTAAGATTCTGGGTTATAATCTTTAATATTCAGAGCAGAATTCAAACCCTCTCCCAATTGTGGTAGAAATTTATATGCATAAATATCCAGCTTTCTTTTTAGCCACTTGAAGTGGCTTCAGACATGACCCTGTGTGTAACACTTGTTAGGGCTGTTGATGACTTCATGATCACCTGAATACTAAGAGGATTTCATTGTGTCTCCTGGTCTACTAACTTACTTACTGAACATTCACTCTTTTCAAAGCTTAAAGTAAATTGGACTGAATGGGTTACAAATTACTCCTCTTCTAGAATGGTGCAGATAATTGAGTTTCGAACTGTATTTCTTTTTAAATGCACTCGCTTTACTTCAAAATAACTCCTTTCACCCTTACCCACTTACTTTTTTTTGTTTGTTGATGGAAGGGGTAGTAAGAGACATAATATGAGAAACTTGTATTCTCCTAACTGATGAGTTCCTAAAAGAGGAATGGGCAGTCTGGGATCTAAAGGAAAACAATGGAGGAGATGCTTCACTCTGTTGAGGAAAGCATAATATACTAGTTTTGGCTAAAAAAATAAAAAAATAATAATTTTTCATCATTTCCAAGTACAGTCAACTCTCAGTTATCTACCAGTAGCCCTTGATTGCATGTGTAATTAAATCCAGGGAAGATCTCAAAATTCTATCTCATGCCATAGTCTGTTCCCACTCCATTCCAGTCACAATATCATCTCATCAGAGATGCTAGCAAATTGTATATAAAACACATTTTGAAATAATTTCTCTCTATCTGCCCAATCTCTGGTTGGGATTTGATAAACATCTAAAAAGCAGGTGGCACAATAATACAGAGACAGAATCATCAGCCTCCAGAAAACTGGATGTGGACTATTTAGTTGATACATACATCTGAACAGCTTTAACTTTAGGTCATATACTGATCCCAACATAGAGGAGACAATTTTTTTTTTTCTTATTAGTAATCCTCCCAATTTAAACCAAGAGGAGGAGAAGAGGTTAACAGAGAGACCAGGTTTGCCAAATGGAATAGCTGCAAATGTTTTCCAGCAAGGTATATCAACTGGCATCATCACTTGATTTAGTAGGCCTAGCCAAGATAAACACAGAGATGTGGACAGACTGATGGAGGGATGGGGCTGGGTTGGGGTGGTGGTATTGAGGGGGGGGGCGATGAAGGAAGCTGGGTTTCTCAACGGGAAAATGCTTTTGGATTTGGAGCAAGGTACCAAGGTGGGCAGGAAGGCCACGTGCAGATTTAAAGGCAAGCCAGATGGAGAGAAGTTCCCCCCAAATTACCCAAACCCCAAACCCAAGAACACCAAAACAAACTCTAAGGGATCTAGCAATAGCAGCCGCACAGCCTCATTGCGCTGAGCAGTTTAGAAAGTGGAGGAAGGAAGAGAAGAGGGGAAAGGCGTGGGAAAGGAGAGAGAGAGAGGAAAAAATAAAATAAAACCACAAACAGAACAATTTAAATAAAATTAAACCAAGAACAGAATAGAATTTGTAACTCCTTTTTTTTTTTTTTTTTTTTTTAATTTCACAAAAGTTTTCACAAGGACAACGTTATAGAAGAAAACCCCCAGCAGTGGCTAGGTCATGCAGAACCATTAATTGTCATACCTTGGCCCATTCTATTCATCCTTGTTGCACTTTAGAGAGAGAAGTAAGCTATGTGAGTTTTACAACGCTTTTAAACTGTCATATTTCCTGTTGAGCACTTTAACTGGCACATTCTTATAGTTATAAATGTTCTGAGGGCCTAACTTTATAACTTCCTTTGCAAAGGATGCATGAAGAGCTCCTCATGATCCAAAAGTAGGGGGTATATATAAATATATATACATAGTTATATATAGTTATATATTGAGAAATAGTTGTAAGTAATATATAAATCAATATATAGGGACAAAAATAATTTGAAAAACATCTTCTACTCATAGGGCTCTTTAATATACATGTATACAATTACTCCCCACCCCGTTACTGGTTTGACTAATCACTGCCCCCGTGTTTGGTGTGAGGGGTGGGGTGGAGGTTCTAGACTGAGCCTTGTCATTCTGTCAGTAAAAGTGCTTGTCAATTCACACAGCAAGCAAATCTCCAAAACTACCATGCTTGGGGGGTAGGGACAGGGGATCCAAAATCTAAACCCGAAGCATTCACCATAAAAACACCTTTTTAGAGAAGGTACAGCTGTGGCATCTTTCTCCTCCCCTCCACCCCTATTCTCTTCAATAAAAAGTTTTAAAGTAAACACTTCAAATATGTATACACCAGCCCAGGGCTAGCTCATCCATACAAATGCCAGAATTTGATGACGGTGGAGTTGACCAATTTTTAAGAATTACTGCACTGCCTAAAGCATGATTGGCATGCAGAAAATATCTGACAACTATATATTGAAAAAGGACACTGTTCCACCTTTCCTCTCATACTTGCTAACTGTAAAATAATAATAATACCATAATGCATTTGGCTCACTGTCACACACTTCTTATCCCCCATCTCATAAATGACAAGGAGCAGTTTTCGATGATCTTTATTCCCCTGGCTACGTGAGGTGGCCTATGCAGAAAGTTGGTGATGGGGAGTTTCTCCCACCAGCTTTCTGCTTTGGGACAGCCAGCCTCAGGCAGCTGTGCCAACAGTTTAGGGTGGTAGCTGACTTTTGTCTTTGTGGAGTCAACTGTGGCTTGATCCTCCTATGTTCTAGTTATCATGTCAGCTTTTAGGAAAAAATATGATCTGCTGCTGGGTTTATCTTCTTCTTGCAATACCACTGTTCCAGCCCCTGGTCCTAACTGGCATTGAGGCCCTGGCAAATCAGACAAAGGGGAGTAAAAAGGTCCCCTGAGAATGCGTGCAAAAATACTTGCTCTTTCCCGAGCATTATTTATTCTGTACATAAGGTAAGTAATTCACCTTTTAAAAGATGTAGAAGTCCCAGGAAGGCAGTTTTTTTAATGACTTACATCTGATATTTATGATACATATGGCTTTTCATCCCAAATGTCAAAAGTGAAAGAAGGAAAAATAGCTATTCATATGGCAGCATAAGGAGACAGAATAGCAATTTAATATGCAACCAAACCTCTTTTCACTTAAATTAAATCACTAGGATTTGAGACATTCACGAATGGAATACTAGTCTCTTCCTCCGTATTAACGTTAGAAATGTTCAGATGAACTCCCAAAGGAAAGTAGCTTTGGGACAAAAGGCCTTGGTGAGTAACTGAAAAATATCTGGTGTTCTCTTACAACAAGCAGGTGTTTAATAATTGTCTACACGAACGGTGAAAGGCTTTCAAATGCTCTGCCATAGTTCAGCCCAGAGAGTGGGAAACACTCGGTATGTGCTTGTTGCTTTTTGGTTGCCTGCTTCGCTTCAAATGTGTGCTAAGTTACTGTGTGTGTATAAAAACAACAACAAAAGGACAACAACAACAAAAAAGATCAAAACCCAAAGCACCCCGGTAATCCTGATGAAATTAGTATAAACTTTTTTCTTAAGTAAACTCACTTTGCGTCACCGACAGGGATCACAAACAAGTGTGCTGCCTTGTAATCTGTGAGCTATTTATGTCTTATGTCAGGAGCGTGTCTATGGGTTATTTTTTCCCCTAGAATCATAAATAATTTTTGGTCCGTCTGCTTATTTGCTGTTGTGCTCAAGGGTTTTATGGTGGTGAAATAAAAATGACAATCACATGCACACTATCATACATATGCAAAATAGGCATAAAAAAAGGAGGGAGAGAAAACTACAGAGGGAAATAGGAAAGTTACTTTTGGGAACACCAACTGGGGAAATGAGTGGCAGATACAGTTTCACACACGGTGGCAGTGGATACACATATCAAAGCCGCTCTTCCTGCACGTACTTCTGTTTGTCCCGGGACTCCCTGGACTTGGGGCGGTTCGGTCGGTTCACGGTGGACTGGATGGAGTGAATGGAGGAGCTCTTCTTGCTAGAGGACTGGGACGAGTGGGAGGAATGGGAGAGGCTGGCTCGGGACTGGCCGGCATTGTGGTCAAACTGCATTAAGCAGAAGATCAGGTCCGTGGGCACGAGCTCAAACTCGTATGGGGGGTTGGTGATGACATACCTAGACAGAAAAGGAAAGACGTTAAAGCGTGATGATAAGTTGGGGAAGCCACAAGAAGTTGTCCGCCTTTTATCAGAGGTTAAATTATTATCAGAGGTTAAATTAGCGTGCATGCCATGGTAATGTGAGAACTAAAGTGCACCTTTCAAAGCAACTAAAAAGTTCCCTTCTGACTTTAAGCAGCCTAATACATGGGCCTGCATGGACTGAGCTGCAAGCAGCTTTCACCCTAGAATCCACTTTTGTTTAAGGTTGCTCAATATCTTCCTTAAAGGAGCTCTGGTGGTGCAGTGCCTAAGGCATTTGGCTGCTAACCAGGTGGTCAGCAGTTCAACCCTACCAGCTGCTCCATGGGGGGGAAGGGAAGATGAGGCACTCTACTTCCTTAGCGCCTTAGGAACCCAGTGAGGGCTCATTATCAGCCTGAATTGACTTGTTGGCAGAGAGTTTGAGGTGTGTTTGCTTTTGCCTGCTGTATTGCTCTCCTCAATCTGACCAGGCTCTCACACCAGACACAACTGACAAAAAAATTCACTACGTTCCCTCTACAGCAGTGATTATCAAGGTGTTGTTTGTTGTTCTAAGACCAGATGGACAAGCATCACCTGGGAACATCTTATTATCAATCCTCAGGCCCCTACTGAATCTGAAACTCTGGGTGGGGCCTAGCAATCAGTATTTTAATGTGATGCATTTCCTCAGGTGCTTCTAATATGCAGCTTGCAAGCAAGGCTTAGAAACATTCATCTCATCTATGCTATGGCATTGCTGTAGATTGTAGTGTAGATGGGTGTTTTATGCAAACTCAATTCAATGATTTTACTGTAATGCATATTAGAAAAATACAAATAGCACAACTAAAATATTATTTTTGTGCCTAAAGTGATAATATTATAATTTCCTAAAAATAAATAATACACACAAAAAAAGTGAGACAATTTTAAAAATGCATGAAGTGAAAATATAGTGTTCTAGGCATAGTGCCTAAGGCACTGGACTGCTAACCAGAAGGCTGGTGGTTCGAACCCACCAGCCATTCCTCGGAAGGAAGATGGGGCAATCTACTTACTTCCTTCCTCGGAAACCCAAGGAGGGGTTGCTATGAGTCTGAGTCGGGTCCAACTCGATGGCACATAACAACATCTTGGCAGGATATAGCCAAGATATGTATCTTTCTGCTCAAACTGAACTCACTGCCATTGAGTTGACATTGAGTTGATTCTGACTCATAGTGACTCCCATTGGGTTTCCAAAGGCTGTCAATCTTTATGGAAGTAGAATACCTCATCTTCCTTCCATGGAGCAGTTGTTGGGTTTGAACCATCAACCTTCTCATTTCATTAGCAGGCACATGCTTGTATTCTGAGTGTTCTTAAGTTTGCTATTGAGTGATGGCACTGTTCTATAAAAGATGAATTCTTCCTAGAGTAAGGGACCAAATCTGTTGCGTCAGTTCTGACTTATTTATGGGAACCCCACTTGTTACAAATAGAACTGGTCTCTAGTGTTTTCTTGGCTGTAACCTTTATGAAAGCAAGCAAATTACCAGGCCCTTCATCCACAGTGCCACAGGGGGTTTGAACTGTTGACCTTCTGCATCCTGTACTGGGGATGGGCAACTGGAGTGGAGGCAGACACTCACCTCTTTGTGCACTGACTAGGGGTGCTGAGGTGGGCATCTCTCAGCCGGTAAATCCCAAAACAAAGCATATTATAGGTTTTCAGAGCTTTGCAGAACAGATCACCATAACAACCGCCATCCTGGGAGACAATAAAAGAACAATCATTTTTATTTGCCTGAAAGTAGAGATGGGGGGGGGGCTAATGGGGGGTGTCGTTGTATAGGAAAGCTTGTTGCTTGTAAGTTGGAGGACAGTGGCTGGAAAAGTGGTTAACAGCCTTCCCCCGATATTGGCAATTTTAGGGGTCAGGTGAGAATGGAGTTTTCCTTTTTCCTCTGTCATCTCTCCAAGCTTTCTACCTGTAGCATTGAGAGTTCTGATGAGTGATGAGACTGCATATACTTCCAATGAGGGTGCAAAGCTTGAAGGTCACAGAGGTGTATGTGAAGCTGAGGAGCAACCAGCTCTGCAAAATGGTGACTATGTTTGTTTAGCCCCAGCTCAGCTGTCTCCTGATGGTGTTGTCAAAACTGCCCAAGTGATAATTAACATCATATCTGGTGGGGTCTTTTCTCCTTGCAGGATTTTGACAGACTCTCCCAGGTAAGGACTGTGTGAAAAGCACAATTTACAGACCTCATAGGTAACCATGGTGGAAAAGAAAGTGTTTCCCTGGGAGCTGGAGGTCTGTGGGCTGAATAGCTGGAATTCACAGCTCTAATCACTTCACAACCACCCCACCTTCCAAGGGTTTGGGGCCCAATGTGGACCATGAAAACAAATTCATTCACTTAGAAACACTGGCTTCGTGCCAGGTGGCTTCACATAGGCATTATTAGAGGAAGAAGACTTATTTCCTGGGCAAAAAAAAAAGGGGGTTCTTATAACTAGCATTTCCATATATTTCCATATAGGAACTATATGCATGATTCCAAATGGGGCTAAACCTTACCATGGTGTAAAGTCTTTATCCTTTCAAAGTGTATTATAAAAAGAGAGGCGAGGATTGAGGATAGAAGCTGTCTTTTGAACTGCTCAGTCTGACCTAGGTCCCTGCCCATAACCAAATGCAAAATGCAGCAAGTCAACATCACTGTTGCAGAGGAAATGGGGAGAAGCTGATCCTTGCTTTATTAACTCCTTTTCCACTATTTGGGCTTCCTTCTTGATGTTGATGTAACTGGGTTTTTGGCTCCACCTCTTAAACACATCCACTAGACTGGGACTATGGTTCAAAACTACATACATCTTCCAAATCTTCCAAAGAAACATGTTGGTGCTTCTCACCCAGAGGGAACTGTGTGTCTCTTCTATAGGTGACTGGGGTCAGCCTCAGAAAATTATTGCTTTGGTTCACCAATGGGGTTCTGCAGCAAGTACATGATTACATGTAGTTTTCTGAAAAATACCACTGCCTAAGACATGCCAAGATATCTGAATGCTGGGGACAAGGGCTGAGCTTCAGTGGTTTTTAAAAGTTCCCCACGTGTTAGGCCAGGAATGGATACTCCTGTACTCCTGAGGTGAACCTGACTCAAGGCATCCATATGTGTGTCAGAGTAGAGCTGTGCTCCACAGGATTTTTGCAAGTAGAGTCCTGGCCCACTCTCTGAAGGAACGCTTGAGTACCCTTATCTGTGCTAAAACCTGTAGAAATGGGTCTCAGTCTTGGTTGTACCTGTTACAGCCTACTTCATGGTGGAAGGTATCAGAGGAGTGGAATTCTTGCCCATAGGCTCTGAAGCCAGAGAGTGTGAATTTTTCATCATCTTCAGCATGCCTAGTGATGGGATCTCTTATAATTTTAAAGACAAATGCCCAACTTGCTGCCATCTGACATGAAGCTGATTTGGATCAAGCTTTCTCCAGTCAGTGGGCTCAGGTGACCCTGGGCCATGAACTTACCCCTAAGTCAGCAAAGGGACCGTCCAGCAGGGCTAACTGGGCCACACGGCAGCGGTCCCTGTTGGCCAGTGTCTGGGGGGTACTATAGCCCCCTCGAAGGGCATTCTCCTCAGCAATCAGAGCCTCGAGCTCTGGTGTGGCTCCTCCAGTCACTAGGGTCCGTATCAGGGTAAGGATATTGTCATTGAAATATGTCTGGGGAAAGAGGGGGGAAAAAAAAAGTGTTTCAGTTGGCATCCAAATTAAAACGTTTCTTGGTCTCTTCTGTTTAAAGTTCTGGCCTGTCTCTTCAAATAATTTTATGTGGGAAGTGAAAACACAGCAGCCTCCAATTATTCCATTCTTTTCTCTCCTATTTGGCTCTAGGCTCTACCATGAGAGCTTTACCTTTTACTGCACCCACAGCAATAACACACACTATGGGCAGTAGCCTCATGTACCCCCAGTCAGCAGAAAATGACCAAAACTGTATGTTTGCTTTGGCAAAGTTCACAGCTCGGCAGAGGTCATTGCCTGCACACGAACCCTCTGTTCACAGCTCGGCACAGAGAGTGAGTCAAATGGCTCAAGTGTGTTGGCCAGTCAGCTGGGTGGGATGTACACAGCCGCAGCATGATGGCTTCTCCAGCCAGGGCTATTTCTAGGGGGAAAAAAAAAGTGATTTGTTCCCACATTAGAGATTAGAGAAAGTTTGGTTTGTAGAGCAGGGAAGAAAACCTCCACATCAACACAACAGGTACCAAGTCTTTGAAGTTGAAGTTGTCAGCAATAGGTAACAAAAACATTGCTATAGTGCTTTCATGAAAATAATGCAGGGGGTTGTACAGTATGTAAAAATGTATAAACATGTGTTATTGGCCTAAAGTATCAATTTGGAGAATTTGTATTAAAGGATTTAAGTTGTTAAACCAAAACCAAACTCAATGCCATCAAGTCAGACCCGACTCATAGAGGCCCCTCCTCACATTTCCAAGGCAGTAGTAGATCGCCCTCGCCCAAATTGCCCAACCTTCCTTCTGAGCAGCGACTGGTGGGTTTGAATGGCCAGCCTTCCAAGTGCCTTAGGCATTTGACTAGTAAGCAGAAGGTTGGCCGTTCAAACCCACCAGTCACTGCTCAGAAGGAAGGTCGGGCAATCTACTTCTGTAGTGATAGTGCCTCGGAAACGCAAGGAGGGGTCAGTATGAGTTGGAAATGACTTGATGGCAGTGAGTTTGGTTTTTTTGAGTTGAATTGTGAAGATAAAGTATTAGATTGAAGTCAGAGAAACCATTACAAACACAAAGGAGGACAGGTGGAGGTGGTGCCGAGAAAAACTTCACATGGCATTAAAGAGACAGGGTAGACAGAGTGGGAGGATTACACAAGATAAGCTAAAACTGTGTGGAAAAGTCTGACTACCCATAGCTTAAGCAGCCACAGAGTGAGAAGAAGGTATAAGTAAAAGGGAAGAACCAACTGAACTCATTGCTGTTTCAGTCCATTCCAACTTAGCTTGGCATAAAGTGGGGCTGCCTCATCTTTCTCCAGCAGGGCAGCTGGTGGGTTTGAGCCACTGGGCTGTGCCCCAACAAACCACTCTAAACAAACTCACAGGCTGCAGCTATCCCTTCCCATGCCAGTTTCCTTTCACCCATGCAGGTGCATGTTCTTGTTCTGGGGGATGAGCAGATTCTGCTATAACTGCCTGCTCCTGAGGCCCATGACTGATTAGAAAAGTCGCTCCTTCTCAATTATTATCTTCCCCTTCCACTGGGAGGAAGACATTATCTCTCTAATAGCCAGAATCTTCTATACCAACCATCTCATACAACAGAGGAGTAAACCAATATTACTGCACCACACGATCAATGACAGATAACACCTGCTTAGCTTGTCCAAACTAAAGCATTCTCTCTCTAAGGAACAACACGTTAATAGAACTACCTGGTAAGGAATTCAAAAGATAGATAGATGACCTTCCATAAGCTCAAGGAAACCATGAACTGAAGCAAGGAGAAGACAATTTCCTTGAGGAACTCAGGAAAATCATACAAGGACAAAAGAATAGACTAGATTTGACTGAAGAACAGATTTGCCAGCTAGAAGAAGAAAAATTCCTTGACATCAGCTTACATGAGGAAAGATCTGAACAAGAGAAGGCAAAAAAGAAAAATATTGTCAACTTATGAAAAGCTATCCATCCAAGAAGCTCCTCAAACCCCATATAGGACAGACCCCAAGACATATCAAACAATCTGGAGAATAGCTCAGGAAAAATGAAATGTTACAGAAAAAGGGCAACCAATAAGACTAAGCTCTGATTTTGCAGCAGAAACCATGCAGGCAATGGGATGGAAAATATAGACAAACCCTTGAAGAGAAAGAATTACCAACCAGCCTGTCTCTCTAATAGTCCAAGACAAACAAATTAAGGGGATTTGTAGAAAAACAGCCTAAGCCTACAATAAATGCTAAACACAGTGCCACCCAAAACTCAACCCAGGAAAGAACTATACAGAGGAGTCAATCTGTGAAGGACAACAAAATGAACACAGCAGCAATATAGTCATACCTAGTAGTACACTGAATGTCAATGGACTAAATGCACAGGGTAAGAGTGGCAATATTAATTTCTGATACAATGGACTTTGCAGTGAAAACCAGCATAAGAGAAAAAGAATTGATGTTAAAAGGGTCAACTGACCAAGAGGACATTATCATAATACATATAGCAAACATTAACTCACCACTTTTTATGACAGAACACACCACACATCCTTTTCCAGTGCACAGGTATCATTCTCCAGAATGAAAAAAAAAAAAAAAATCACTACAAAGTATCTTCTCAGATCATAATGCTGTAAAGTCAAATAAGTCAAATACATGGAAACTGTGAATAATACACTGCTTAAGAACCACTGGGTAAAAGGGAAATAAATTGTGAAATAAAACAATTCCTAGCATAGTGCTGAAGGCACTTGACTGCTAACCAGAAGGAAGGTGGAAGGTGGGGCAATCTACTTCCGTAGTGATACTGCCTCAGAAACCCAAGGAGGGGTCGCTATGAGTCGGGGCCAACCAAGAATGGAAACACAACATACTTTTTTTGGGAACACAGCAAAAGCAGTACTCAAAGGTCAATTTACAGTAATACACACATCACAAAGGACCCAAAATCAACACCTTTAACGATTGAAAAAAGATCAGAAAAGACTAATAACAATCAACAAACCACTGGCAAATTTAATGAAGGAAAAGAAAGAGAAGATGTAATAACAATACTAGGAAGAACTGTACTCCTACAAATTAAAAAACCTAGAAGAACTTGAGCAAGGTCATAGGAAAGCTCCCTACAATGAAATTGGAGGACATTAGGTAGGAGGACGTCATTTAGTCATCAATCACAGAAGGACAAACATTGTATCAGTCTGTTATGGTAAAAAGTCAAGGAAACGTTGACATGTGGAAGGAAATTTTATTGGTTACTTGGTTACCAGGGGTGAGAATACTGTTTAATATACATGCCCAAAGCCACTACCATCGAATTGACTCCAACTCAGAGTGACCCTGGTTGGGTTTCCAGGGGTGGTATCACTAAGAAGTAGATTGCCCCATCTTCCTGGTGGATTTGAACTGCCAACCTTCTGGTTAGCAGGCAAATGCCTTAAGCACTGCGCCACTAGAGCTCCTTACACATGACTGAGTAGGGTTTATACCACATGTGTGCAAGGAACAATCAACGTAGTCCATCCCATAAAACAAAAGTACATGGGATCATATCAATTGATGGAGAAAAGGTATTTGATAAAATCCAACACACTTTCCTGTTCAAAACTCTCAACAAAATAGGGATAGAGGGATTTTTGTCAAAAGACATATATACAAAACCAATAGCCAACATTATTCTGAATATTCTGAATAGACTCAAAGAATTCCCCTTGTGAACAGGAACTAGAAGGTGATGTCCTCTATCATCACTACTTGTATTCAACAATACATTAGAAGTCTTAGCCAGGGCAAGAAAGGGAAATCCAACTGGCAAAGAAGTAAAGCTGTCCCTACTTGCATATGATATGATCACATTATAATAATATAGATAGAAAACTTGAGAGACTCAACAAGAAAGCTACTGGAACTAATTGAGAGATCCAGCAAAGTGGCAGGATACAAGAAAATCAATTGAATTTCTCTACATCAACAAAGAGATCTGAAAAGGAAAATATCATTTCCAATACTTACCAGGGACAGAAAAGACCTATGCAAACAAAACTATAAGAGATCTACATGATGAATGGAAGAACATGTCACACTTATGGATAGGAAGACTGAGTATTGCAAAAATGTCACTACTACCCAAAGCAAACTATACATTCCATTTAATGCAATCTTTAAAGACACAGAAAAAACAGGAAGAGAAAGAGACCTCAGATAAGCAAAGTATAATTGAAGAAAAAAAAAAAAAAAAGTCAGTCAGTCTCACAATCCCTGATCTCAAAGCCACCTGGTATTGCTACAATGATAGACAAGTGAAACAGATCTGAGCATCCAGAAATAGATTCATCCATCTATGGACAGCTGATCTTTGACAAAGGACTAGGACTGAAACCCATTTAATGGGAAGAAGTAGTTTAACAACAAATGGTGCTGGCAAAATTGGATGTCCATTTGCAGAAAAAATGAAACCAGATCCATACCACACACAAAAACTAACCAGATGGATCAAAAACACCTAAAAAGTACAACAAAGTTCATCAAAGATAAAATAGGGGCAAACCATATCAGGGGCCCTATTTTATGACACATAGGCTCTCAAGGCTAATCCAAAATGTACAAGCATCAGAAGAGAAAGTAGACTGGGAATTAGATTTTTATGTGGCTAAAGACTTCTCCAAAAGACCAAAAACAAAACCTATAGCTAGGTAAAAAATACTTGGCTATGATATATCCAACCAGGTCCTTATGTCTAAGATTCCTAAGGTTTATAGAAATCTTCAACAGCAAAAACACAATCCAATTACAGCCAGAAGACATGAACAGACAGTTCAAGATAGAAAATAAGGCTGGTGGGAATGTACCACGAAGTAAAATGGTATGGCACATTCTTAAAAATCTGGAAATAGAAATATCATTTGAACTAATAGAATATATCTGCGAGAGGTGAAATTCAGAACATGCATAGATAGAGGCACACCCAAGTTCACTGTAGCAAAGAG